GTAAAATATCCCATGCAAATTTTTAACTACCAGAAATCACCAATAAAAAGGACATTAAAGAGCTTCATTTTTAAAACAAGAAATGGTACATCGATAAAGCTGTCTTCTTTCCACAGTTCTCATAAAACTGCATTGAAGGACAAAACAGTGGGAAAATACACATGCAGTCATTAAGGTAGATTGCTTTTATGTAAGCTTGAAGTAAACATCTTACCCTTTTCTTCCAAAAGCACAATACATGATAACAAAAAGTCAGAAGTAAATGGGGTGCTTTGTATGAAGTTAGCTTTAATATATTTCCTCTCCTACAGATGGGAGAAAAAGATACTCAAAGGAGAGAGGAAAAAATAAAAGCAAAATATAAGAAAGCACCCTGCAGACAACATGGCAATAAATGCCCCCGCTACACTGATGAACAGTCTTTTTTTTAACTTTTTTCACCTTTCCATTTTTTATTTCCCCAAATACTCTTCTGTTTCATTGATGCTCAGTAGTTCCACTTTGACAATGTTTGATTCTCCTAGAACTATTATAGGCAACCAATTCATACTCTGCATTTTATTTTGCCCTTTTGCAGAGCTGAACTATTTGGTTTATCCTGCATAAAGACAACTAGTAACAAAAAGGCTCTTCAAATCACAAACAGCATTAAGGAAGAAAAAAATAGAGAGGAAGGGAAATAAAGCAACCAGCTTTTTATTCAAACAGCTCTCTACAGCCAGGGTGCCTCTTGGCAAAGCCACAAAAACACCATATCAACTCAATTTTTAAGTATATTTTTATTTCAGAAAAATGAGTATGAGTCACTAACAGCAAAGCTAATCTTTCCATTCATTTAAGAGAAACATTTTTCAGCTTCACAATTAGGGGAGGAGAACAGAGTGTTCTAGACTGAAAAATGGATTTTGAAAGTTTAGAAACAAGATGCCCTTTTTATGCTGTTACTGATCTTGGGATACAAAAGTTGGTAATACCTAACCAAAACAGAAGAGCTTTTTTACATCAGTGTGCCTGGCAGACTGCACTTCAATCATTAACAGCATCATCAAAACCAGATAATCACCACTTTAAAATTTAGTTGAATCAAAACCAAGATGGGCTTTGCGTGGAAAATAGTCCATGCAAAGTGGACTCTCTTTCTTCTTGGTACTGCTGTAAGTAAGTAAAGTAAGACTTTGTGGTGATTCCTGCTCCAGATGAAAAAGAAATATTTGGGTCAGGTCCAGCTTTTGCAAGGCTGGCTCCCTTGCCCCAGCTTGTGAGAGGAGCAACCACCCTTTGGCCAAAGCTTACAGAGGAGTCATGAAATGGCAACCCAAAGGCAGGGCATTATCTCCTGCTTTCAGAAAAGTGCCCTCAAAACCATCCCACTGGGCTCCCTCTCTCAACACTTGGTTAATTCTTTATTTTAATTCCTTATTTTAAATGGAGGGGCTCCTGGAAGAGACAGAGACCAATCACCCCCTAGATGAGCCAGGAAGTACATGAGAGATGCAGACTTAAGGTTCTCTACAACTATCTGAAAGGAGATTGTGGTGAGACAGGTTGTTCTCCTCAATAATTACCAATAGGGCAATAGGACATCTCCTCAAGTTGCCTCCGGGGAAGTTCAGGTTGGACAGTATGAAGAATTTCTGCACAGAAAAAGTGGTGAAGCCTTGGAACAGGCTGCCCAGGGCAGTGGTGGAGTCACCATCCCTGGTAGCGCTTACGCTGAGGCGCTTAGGGATGTGGGTTAGCAGGCAGGGTGGTGAGGGCTGGACTCCATGATCTTGAAGGTCTTTTCCAGCCATGATGATATGATTCTCTGACCTCAGCCCTGCCTACAAGTTTAGGCCAACAGCTCTGCAGCCTCACACAATGCTTCTCATGTTGGCTCATCCACATGCCAAAAGGCAACGTGTTAATCCTCTCCTTGCCAGGATGACCCACCTTGCAGATAACCTAACACAGTACCACTTCTTTCTCATTAGCCCTGAACAGATGGCAAATGAACCCCGAGAGACCTCCCGCCTCACCCACAAACCTTCAGCCACCCTGCTAAACTCCAGTGCTCCAGCTTTTCTCATGCGCACTTCATTATCTCTCACACTCACCACTCAAAGATTTCAAGTTCTATTTTGGTGGGGAGGAGGGATGGGGGGAAAGTAGTAAGACAACAACACAACACTACTTCAGTTCTTTTAGAGCTTTTCTACATCTACTAACTGTAATGGAGTGGTATCCAGTGTATATTAGTCTTAAAAAAAATCACAAAATGCACACCAGGTGTGTTCTCAAAAGTAGCATGAAGTTCATAGAGGCCTACAGCCCAACAGGACAGTTTCACAGACTAAATACAGTAAGAGTAGCTCAGAACAAGTTTTGAATGGCCTGTGCAGAAAGTAATAGCCTCAATATTGGGATCTGTATACCTGAATCCGAGCAGGGAAAAACAAAAGAAAAATACCCCTTTCATACACAAAGCACGCTGCTGATCTATGCCTTGAGAAAGTACACAGTAAGAGTTTCAACACCCTAGGAAAAAAGGAAAGAGTCATACCTGGGGCAGTCTAATTTAACAACCTGCAACACTGCAGTCAGTTCAGCTGCAGTATCACAGGCTGCTTCAAAGCAAGTTGCTAAATAAAGAGATGAAACGATGCTGAAGCAACCTAAAATCCTCTGGTTCACAARCACACTCAAAGCTCCGCTGAAATCAGAATATTAAGTTCCCAACTCTGCATCACAGCCAACATGGAGCTTGATCCAACGGACTGTCGTGAAGCGCATGCCTAAAGTAACTTGGGTATTTGGTGGTTTTTACATTAAAAAGTGAATGTCTGAAAATAACAATCCTAAATAAATAAATAAATAAATAAATAAATAAATAAATAAAAAAGCAAGAGAGAAAAATCAATTTGTCTGCAGCAGCTGTGGTCTGCTGTACGGTATCTCTGAATTGAGACCGAGGAGAAAAACAAGATTCTCATGTCCCAGAATGATGGGGTAGATTCTCATGTCCCAAAATGATGGGGTTTCAGCTGCCAACAGCAAGATAAACTTTTTCACATCCTTCTGCAGAAATTTAGTATTTAAACACTATCTTAAGAATAGCTCTGTCTTAATTGGTGTATTTTGAAAAAGATGTTGTACAGGCAACTCATTAAAGATTCTTCTCTGGAACATATCCCACTCCCTAATAAACACCTGATTCTGCAATGCCAAACACCCACTTCTTTGAAATTCTCTCTCATACATCCACAGCACCTTCAGGACCAAACAACTGTCAAGACTGGAATCATCTTCACTCTGGATCCTATAAAAAACACACAGTACCATCCCATAGTCTTTACATTCTCAGATCCCAATCTTACTGGGAAAAGGTGAGCTTCTGGGCAATCACATAACTCTGCCTCCAAACAGAATTAAATGAATTTATTGTTTACTCTATACCACTCACTCTCAATGACCGGAGACAAAGTTTATCAACATTTTTGTAACTGTGGGGATAATTTTACCAATCATCAGTTTTCTTCCTTCTCTAGGTTTCTTCGTAACACAAAAAGCCCAGAGAACAACAACAAAAAAAAACTGTTTCCAAGATACTACATGGAAGTCAGATAGAACTGTAATTCTGCTACCTGATACAGATGAGAAGGTGACAAATACCTCCAAGGATTTCAAAGCAAACACATTAAGACACAACCCAAACCTCTCAGAATATAAGACAAAGTCAAAAAATTAGTATAGTGTTTAAAAATCTGATTAAGTGGTACTAGTTAAACACATCCACTTACATACATGATAAATATCTTCCCCTCTGGCAGTGTAAACAGTGTATTTGGAAAAAAAAAAAGAAACACTGTAACATGCAATATTTATTGAAGCCAYCTCTAAAAAGCACATTTCTATTGTGGAGGATGTGAATCCCACTGCTAATTAATCTACTTAGTAAGCCTTACCTCCTTAAGATTTACTTTCATTCATCTATTACATTTGCTGTAGCCTACACATGCTAAAAAACAGCCACCAGAGCCTTTCAAACCACCTGAGTCTTTCAGTTAAACACTTATGCACAAAACCAATTATTTTTCTTGTCTTTTTGTCTTTAATGGCCCCTAACCTCTTTCCGTGGCCCATTTAAATGATTTTCCTTGCTTAATGAGGTAAAGCCACAAGGGCGAGCATATATTARTACTGAAGAACCAGTCAAAATAACTACTTATACTCATCCTCACCTTTTCTGTCAGCATACACAGTCTATCTTGCAACAACCCACCACCTTCCCTGTGAAACAATCACAGGTGATAGCCACAGCATTGCCATCAAGCTTTACTGATCCTGTAACGTGCCCTTACTGCTTTAGCAAGGGCTACGATTGAATTAAGTCATCTGTTTCCTGAAACAATTTCAGCATGGTGATATTTGCTATGCAGCTCCTATCTATCTGTAAAGCATGTAAGAATGGTAGTGTAATGAATGTAAATGAAATGCTGTGGAAAAGATAACCTGGACACAAGCAGTGTAAATTTCACTTCTATACTGGAAAAAAAGGAAATAGACTGCTTTCACTTGTGATTATGGTGAATTCTACTAAAAGGCAATGGAATAATTTTATATAGATATATATGGATATACAGAGATATATACACACACATAATTTTTCTTCAAGCATCATTAGGTACTTTAAGGATGCATGTTGCATGATTATACAAAAAGAATTTTTAAAATGCCAGTCCTGAAGGCGACGTACGTAATAGAGCAGCTTCATGTGAAACGTTCTACATAGTAACCCTAAAGGAAGGTGCTTTGGAGGTTCACAGCACTGCTTTGGAGGCTCAGAGCACTGCTCGGGAGGCTCAGAGCACTGCTCGGGAGGCTCAGAGCACTGCTCTGGAGGTTCACAGCACTGCTCGGGAGGCTCACAGCACTGCTCGGGAGGCTCACAGCACTGCTCGGGAGGCTCACAGCACAGCCACACCGCGAGCACCGTCACAGCGAGAGCTGCCGCCACCTACCTCGTAGGACCAGACGCACTGGGTGCCGCCGAACCTGCGGACGCAGCGCCCCACCTCCACGTCCTCGTGCGTGGTGTACATCTCGCGGAGGCACTCGCCGATGTGCGGCACCATCCTGCGCAGCACCTCGCGGCTGAAGATCATGCCCGGGCCGCCCATGCAGAAGTTCTCGCCGGGCTCCAGACCCAGCTTGCCAAGTTCTTCAATATTCCCCAGGCCCGTCTGCCCCAAATACAGCGGCTTACTGCTGTTCAGAGAGCGAAGGAACTCCTCCAGCTTTTCACCTGGAAAAGATAAAAGACCACGTTTATGCCTCCGGCTAGCCTGCCAGCCATCTGTTTTCCATATCTCAAGCTTTCCTTACATCCCGTAGACATTTCCAAGCTTCCCATAAGTGATTCCGAGCACAGGGTCCGACACCTAACTGAAAACATCCAATGACAGTTCTGCGTTTTCCAAAGACTTAATTAATACTGCAATGACACTTTCATTCACTCAAAAGCCAGAATACATTTGAAACAACCTTCACAAATAAATCTTGTTCTGTTAGACCTGTATTAGTGGAAAACACCCATTTTGCAGTGTAAAACACTCTCTAAAGCAGGGCAGGTTGCCAACACAGTTGCAGTGGGGGGAAGAGGAACGACAGACATTGGGATTGATTTTTGAAAAGGTCGAAGGGAACCTACAATTACTACTATAAACAAACCTGTTTGACACAGAATAGTTTTCTGCCTGCCTTCTTCAGGAACATGGTAAAACGCTGGCACCTTCAAAACCCAGACAYGACTTCCAGCAGTACCAGGTCCACACATTTCTCCTTCAAACACCTTTGCCAGCCTGACACAATACACTGTTAATTAATATTTATAGGCTTTTTAGCTTTTTTTCTTGTGAATTCTAGAGTTAGTGGACATATTTAAGTCAGTGCCAGCTCCCTTCAAGGCAGAGATGAGCCTGCAGAGGAGTAACAGCTTTTGAAGTCTGGCACTAAATGTATGTGTGTGTGTGTGTGTGTGTGTGTGTGTGCGCGCGCACGCATGTGCATATACATATACACACATGCACAGAGAGAGATGGCTGCACAGCCAACTGACAACTGATGTGTCCATCAAACCACTCCAACAAACCAAGGGACAAGCAGGCAAGTCTGCAGCCACCTCAAGTTAACTTGCACTGTGCTCACACCTTGGGCTTTTATGATTCCAGCATCACTGTTTTATATGGAGAGGGTCTATTTTTGGTTTCTTAGGGGCCTTTTTTATTTWTTTTTTTGCAGAGTCCAGCACCCTGCACGACCAGCAGAGATTTTCCCCTCCAGCTCTCCAAGCACAGTGCCCAGAGAGGCGGCCGCTTGTTGGCACCCCCAGGGCAGTCCCCTGTGGGATGCGGGAAGGAGTTTGCAGGGAGGCAGCGCTGAGCGCTGTGAGAGGCTGGAGCGAGACAATAACTCCGGCTAGCGGTTAAAAGAAAAACAGTGGGGAAAAAAAAAAAGAAAAAAACGGGGGGGGGGGAAAGAAGAAAAAGAAGAGGAAGAAAAAAGAAATTAGAGAAATAGAGGCTAAAAGAGAAGGGGGTGGCAATAAAAAGAATATGAAAGCGCGGCTGCGGCGGCAGGAGCGGCGCTCCGGGAGCGCGGCGCCGGCTCCGCTCGCGCTCACCTTTGATGTAGACGTCGTCGTCGGCCCTCATGAACCACTCGTACTTTTCGAGGTAGTGGTCGTGCATGTACTTGATCATCATGAAGGACTTCTTCTGCGGCGGGTACGAGTCGTCCACGCCGGGCAGCGCCACGACGGGCAGCGGCGGCGGCCCCGGCGGCGCGGCCGAGCCCTGGCTCGAGAAGAACTCCACGCGGCCGGGCACGGAGGGCGCCCACGTGCGCTGCGCCGCCAGCGCCCGGCTCCCCAGGTACTTCTGCGCCGTCATGACCCCCACGTAGAGGAAGCCGCGCGGCCGCGCGCAGCCCCCCGCGCCGCCCCAGTCGCCGCTGCCGTTGCGGCCGCCGGGCCGCGCGCCGCGCCGCTCGCCGCCCTCCTCCTCCTCGCCCTCGGGCTCGCCCTCGCCGCCCGCCGCCGCCGCCGCCGCGCGCCCGTAGTGCGGGCAGAGGCTGGAGCCGCGGCGCTTCCTCTCGCTCATCTCGGCCACGCGCGGGGCGATGAGCCACGAGGCGGCCGTGAAGCCCAGCACCAGCCCCAGCGCCACGCTCAGCCACGGCCGCCGCCACCGCGCGGCCATGGCGCGCCCGCCGCCCGCCGCCGTCCCGCTCCGCTCCGCCGCCGCCCCAAGTTCTCCTCCTCCTCCTCCGCCGGCAGCAGCAGAGGCAGCGCTGGCGGCCGCTGCGCTGCGCCCCGCTCCGCCCCGCTCCGCTCCGGCGGCACCTTGTGAGCGCCGCGCCTGGTCCTGGTCCTGGTGCTGGTCCTGGTCCCGCCCCGCCCGTCCCCTCCCACCGCTCGGCCCCCTCCACGCGGCGCCCCCGCGGCGCTGCCCCGTTCCGCGCTGCCCCGTTCCGCGCTGCGCAGGGCGCCGCGGAGCCGCCGCGGAGCCGCCGCCGCTCCGGAAGGAAGCGATTTTTTCACGGCGCCCGCCGGCTGCAGCTGCCCCGGGGCGGCCGCGCCGAGCCCGGCCGCGCCTGGGGGTCGCTCAGCGGCCCCCGGCCGGACCCCCCTGCCGGGATCGCGGCCCGCGCCCCCGGGCGCCCACGGGGCGGCCCGAGCACCGGCACCCACGGCAGAGCCCCCGGCCGCCGCCAGCCCCCGGCTGCCTCCGGCTGCCCGCGCTCCCCTCCCAAGTGCTTGGAGGCCACCTCCGTGTTCAGAGGCACCCCCAGCATCTCGACACATCCCCGGTGCTCAGACACAGCCCCGTTTGGTGGTGCCCAGCGCTGATCTCCAGCTGAAGCGGGAGACGGTCCCTGGCATCGCGTGTGGCTTTGCTGCAGCCCTCACGAGCCACCGCAGCTCCCGTGGCACRTGTTTAATAGCAAAAGCACCCCTTGTTGTCACCCTCGATGTAAGGGGAACATCTGTCACTTGGTGTTCACCTCATGGGCATAAAGATGGATACGCCAAGGTAGGGGATGGATGAGAGAACTGGCACAGCACGAGGGTAGCGACAATGTTGGAAGGGTAGAGACACGTTTTTTTTTTCTTTCTTTTTGGGAAATAGCCTCTAAAATTATCTTCAGCTGAGGACCAGAGCTTTCTTTCCACTTCTGGTCTTGGCAAGAAAATTGGTACAACTATTTTACCTTTTGCATAAAAGCTGTGAGCCTTTTTCCAAAAAGACAAGAGTTACTTGGCAACCTAAGAGGAGGAGAAGACCACCCTGCATCATCTTAAGCTACGAAGAGGTCACCTACTCTTTTTGGCTGTTAACTCATGCCTTGTGCAGCAAGCAAGCTGCTATCCACCTTCTTGAGACATGTAGAGTGTGTTAAAAAAAAAAAAAAAAAAAAAAAAAAAAAAAAAAAAAAAAAAAAAAAAAAAGGAAAGAAATCTCTTAAACTGATTTCCTGGCTCAGGAAGGTGGCAAGAGTTGATCTCAGGTACAGGTGTCCTTTGAGAAGACTTCGTCGCAGTGTTACCGCTATTTTGAGCATCTCAGTTTTTGGTATAAATTTTCTACTTAAAAATACTATCTTTGCACTCCTTTCCTCTCCCACTCACGGTTTTCTCAGTCACTGTGAGTCATGCACAGCCTCTCCAAGAGTAAGGGCACCTCCACACCTACAGGTCCCACCATCTATCTCATCTTTGCGCTCGCCCCGGTTTTCCGACATGCATTTCCATCCTGGCGTGGGGTTGCATATGTGCAACGTGTGAGACCTTCAAGACCATTTCATTGCATACACAAATGCGCTCACTCTCTGCACTCGGCTGGGCTTACTTCCCAGCTCTGACAGCTTATTTTTGTTGTAAAAGGAGCAGATAGACTTGCAGGATGCAACCCTGAAGGTCTTAACAATGAAAGTGGGCTTTCATTGGTGCAGTGTATTATCCAGTTTTTAAAGGAATTGAGTATCAGGACGTTTGGGGCAGGAATATTGATTGGCTGCAGCTACACTTAAGCTTTTAGTTCTGTGTGTTGTATTATACTAGTAATTTAATATGGTTTTGGTAAGGTCTGTCCTTTAAAAAAGTCTTTCAACAGATTTTAAGTAATGCTGAAATGCATTTAAGTAATGCTAAAATGCATTTATACAAGCAACTGTGGCATCTAGTGGTTAATAATAATAATCCCATATCTGTGTCAGTGAAGGAACTCAGGATATTTTCCAAATAAAATAAATACTTGATAGAATAACAAATTTGGTTGGTGATCAGGAATTCAYGTTTAGTTAGCCTATTACAGTTTGTAGTGCAGTTGTTAGGGATGCTACAGCAGTGTCACACTGAATATCTTTGAAAGAAATAGGAGACCACAAGTCAGTAATAGTCCCAGAAACTTGGAARAAAAAAATCTAGTAAGAATTAGGGTCGTAACTTAGGTGAAATGTATCTGTTTGCTGTCCACTGTGCCACATGCTTCTAATTAGAATCCCTAGGGCATCTCTTAATAGCTTTGATTTTGTCTTGTGAAAAAAAGAAAGTATAAAAAATGCAACCTCACATTTTATCTCGGTAGCTTTGCAGCCTACAAGTACCTTTTAAAAGCAATTTGAGATCCTTTGAGGAAGGGCATGCAGAAACATGCAAGTGCCATTAGCAATACCTCTAGATTGAAATAATACTGCTTTACTTGTCTGAAGCGAATTCTGGTCATGYGGAATTCAACAGTTTTGTCTTCCACAGCCACAAGGTCCGGGAGTGAAGGATGARCTTCGGTGTAGGAAGGGAGATGCAACACTGCAGAGCTGCCTATTCCTAAATTTGCTCTCTCACTCGTTAGCCTTATTCATGGGTCTTRATACATTTTATTCTGAGATGCAAGTGCACAACCATCAGCTATAGATTGCAAGGAAGTCTTCAAGACCAGACTTGAGAAAAAAAATGGAAAGATTTGACCTGTCTGCTTGGATGTTTTGCTCCTCAGCATCCTGAGGCACCAAATACAGTGCTGGTGCTCATACTGTCTGAGATTGTATCTATCTGGTGTATAAAAGGGCATGTAAATCAAGATAGTCTTACTAATAGTTCCATCCATAATTTTTCCTCATCAGGATTAAGAGAAAAGCAGCAAGCCAGCTGAGCGAGGCTGAGAGAAAGCCATGAAATGTTGCCTGTGGGTACAGTCTTTTATCCAGCTAGTCCCACATCCTTAGTCAATAACCTCAAGAACTGATGCTGCAAAGGTATAGGYTTATCAGCTGAGATTCGCGTAGCCCAGGAGCAGACTACAGGGAGAGAAAGCATCTGATTGAATTTCACCTTCAGCAGCTAGATCACTGAGCTTGGTTCTGCTCCAGCTTTATTTCATTCRCCCCCAGAAATCCTACACGAATGAGACAGCCTGTTAGAACTGCAGGAACTGCTTTAGGAATCAGTTACTAAAACCTGCAGCATGATACCTCTAAAATAAAACTCAGACATCTGGCAATTAATTTTTTCCACATATTTTAGAGCTATTATTTAGGATAGATCTCTTGACATCTAGCTGCACTAAAAGGTTTTGTTCTAAGGAGAGCTTTATGAAATAATAAAATTTAAATAAATAAGAATACCTAAAATACATACATGCACGTGTCAAAGATCAAGTAGCTGTTACTATTTTTGCTGATATAGTGATGTCTCAGATCAAGGCACACTTACTCATTGAAACACTATCATTGTATGCTTTCCTTGAGATGGACCAAAATAAAATTTACCAATGAATCAGTTTTTGAGTTATATTCTAAAATATTAATAAGAGCTTTAGAGAACTTAAGAAATGGAAAAGTCAGTTGTCTAATTTTTTTTTTTTGTTTTTTTAAACAGATTCTTTATAACATATTGGGTGGGTGAATTCAAAAGGTGGTCTTATGGGCTAGATTGTAGCAGCCACTAAGATCAGTTCAAACTCTCAAGATGTTGCCAAAGTACGGTAATGGAGATAAATGCTACTTTCAAAACAAAAAGTGGACTCCAAAGGCTAAGAAAAAAAGGTGACAAATGAATTGGCTTGATGGAAAAAAGAAATTTCAGTATTCTTGTGATCACATTTTTTGAAAATATTGAGCTTGAAATTCCCCTTGCACGTTCTGTTCTATCATGTAGGCATATGCTCACTTACGCAGCAGTCGTAACTATTAATCTTCCCATAACATTTTTAAAAGCATATGTTTATTCATTGATACATCTCGGTAATCATCTGCACTTACAGTTCGTTAACTAGGGGAATTGTGTTGTGGTGTTTATTTTTAATCCTATGCACTAAAATTCCTGGGTGTTGATGCTGAACCTGGTATAGTTGCATGGGTTTGGGATCATTACAACATCTTTTTGAGCATCTGCCTTTCAATATACAGTTTGATTTTGAAAATTAATTATAGRTCCAATCTATGAACCCAGAAAGCCATCATTACTGATTTTGATTTGAGCGTTTATTGTTGATTTTCCTGGCCACTGGACCCAGACAAATCTTGCACAGATGTAACTCTTCATTCTGTGACAAATCAGCTCCTTGTGCATATTATCGTATCTAAACTTAGCTTCCTACTATCATTTCCTTATGAAGCAATAGCAGCTCCCAAAGCAGGAAGTGGATTGCAGGATTTGGCACTTCACTGTCAGGCACAGAACTATTTCTGAAACTCCACGTACAGTGTAACATTCTGAGGTCAGCCAAGTCAAAAGGATAGTGCTGAACACAGAACTTTATATCTTTTGGAGACATAAGTGGTCCCGAAAATCCTGCAGTAGCTTGAGTTTGAGACTCAGGATGAGTTTGCAGCACTGGTTATTGCCTTCCCTCTTCCTCCCCCTCAAAAAATGAAAAAGACATTTTTAACTTGTGAACAGACTTATTGGCAAAATAATGAAAGATGAACATAAAATGCCCTGTAACTGTAATTCATATTTGGACTAAGACCAGAATGGCAAAAAAAAAAAAAAAAAAAAAAAGCAAAAAGAGATATAGGCTTGGTGGTGAAATCTGTGCTTATGAAAATCCTTTCAGATTTAGTATTTATTAAAATTTGATCTCACATTTATAAAGATTTATAAATGTACTTATAAATAATGCTTAAGATTACATTGTTGATTTATATATAAATTGAATATTTTTATTTAGTTTTAACTTTATTTAATATTTCTTCAAAC